TGCTAAGTTGTCGACTTCGGAACGTTCACTCCGCGTGTCCCTCCTCCCGCACATACCATGGTAGACATATCAACGGCGACACACGCAAATGCTCTCCCAAGTACCCACTGCGTATTCACAACGGAAGACATCGTGCATGAGATTCTTAGACATAGTATCGGTCACAATACAGCCCCGTCAGACTCGGAGGTAGATCATGATCGCATGGCAGTTCTTCATGCGAACCAACTCATCCTCGCACGCGCCGCTCGCGTTTGCAAGTCTTTCTACGAGCCTGCGATACGCCTTCTCTGGCGAGCATTACCTCGAGGTGGCGAGCCTGCTCTGAGGCTACTTTCTGCCGCAAGGTGGAGCACGTCCCCGCCGTGCACAGACAGCATCCGCGTACGCGACATCGCCTCATTCGTATCCCCTCGTACCAAGAAATTGTAAGTGTTTACACCGTCCGCTGTACCATGTTCAAGGGGACTCACCTGTGCATTGCATCAGTCTCTCGACGGGGAAGTCTCTGCCGATAACCCAGATTGGGAACGGTTCACCACCTATGCCGCCTATGTTCGCGTGATATACAGTCCGTTCAGCCATCCTTTCCCGGCGGATCTCTCCCGCGCACTCAGCGTACTGAGGCCTCAAAGCGGCCCTCTTTTCCCAAACGTGCAGCGATACAAGTGGGATCCTCGTACACTCAAAAGCACATACCTGTCCCTTTTCATCCCGCCCACACTGCGAAGCCTGATCGTCAGCCACAATCCTACTTTCCAAACCCGAGAGCCTTTCTTCTCCGGTGACGTTGAAACTATGACACAAAGTTTCCCGGCACTGGAAGAGCTTGTCATCAAGACATTCCTAGACGCACCGTCGTTAAATCCGGATGGATGGTTACCGATCTCTCACCTCCAGGCCCTGCATACTCTAGAAATGAAGTACTCAGATCCACCCTCGGACGGGCCCCTTCTGAGAGAGCTCTCCAAACTCCCTGATCTTCGTCACCTCCGACTCTCCGTCCATCACCTTATGCCAGCGGCTGACTCCGACCATGACCTCGCATTTCGTGGGTTTGCCACCCTCCAGACGTTCACAGTATTGATCTTGGCGGCTGGTACACCCTGGAGCCTGAGGGATGCCTTACCCATCTTCTCTTCGCCTTCCTTGTCTGTCCTCAACGTCAAGTTTCCACACGCTAGCAATCCACCGCTCCTTCCTGCTATGCTGAACCACATCGCCAACGCATACAGGGCGCTCCGCTGCTTATCCATCACGGGTGACTTCTCTCTCTGGCATACTCAGAACAATCTCGCCGTCGACAGCTTTGACGACGCTTTCGGTCAGCTTCTCGGGATCCAGACCATCGAAGAGTGCACCCTCCACACTTCGAGACATTTCGTCGTTTGCGCCGGCGGGGACAGAGAGCTCGTGCGCATGGCGGAATGCTGGCCGAAGTTGCGCCGCCTCAGCCTGTTCGCCACCCTCTCCGGACCTCTCACCCACCGATGCCTGGTCTCCTTTGCGCGCCGCTCGCCAGGCCTACGGGTTCTGCATCTGCGGAGCGTCCGCTTCTCGGATTTGACGATGGCGCACGTGAGCATGATTCCTAGACTGGGACATGGGCTCGAGGAGCTCGGCATCTGCAATGCTCTACCGAACCCCGAGGATGCGGGACTGGACGCGGCCTTCATCCAGCGGCTGTTTCCGCGGGCGCAAACAACACACGCCTGCTGTGGCGAGAGCAGTTGTGCGATCACCATGGCTGTATTGACGCCGCGCGCGCAGACGATTGCGCAGAACATCCCTCGCCGCCCGGACTGGTTCGCGGAAATCAGCGAGTTGAAAGTGTTCGACGGTGAGCCGACCATGCACTAAACAATCCTGAGGCTAGCCAACTCTGGTACGTCGCCGCAAAGCTCGCCAGACTGTCTTCTGACCCATTCTGCAGCACTGCTATATCTTGTAATTACTTTCTAGTACCAGGCTTGCAGCCGTCGCCGCGGATTCGGTCTTGGTTATGTACCCAGTCAACTATCCTCACCATCTCATCGTTATGAATGCTGATATACCTGCCCAAGGCGACTAACACGCCGAACCCCACCTCCATGAACGTATCTCATCCGTGAATATGTATCCTATCCCTCCAGTATTTTCGGAGCATGCCGACCTGAACCTCCAACGGCTTTCATGACCGATGGAACGCCCTGTATCAGAAATGGGGACGAACGAGCGATAACGCCGCCTCCATACTCCCAGCGATAATCGACGCTACATGCGCGGGGAAAACATCCGTGCCAGCGGCGGCCGTGGCATGTATGCATCATACATCACCACATTATTTTCAATCACGATGGTGTAAAACTGCCCTCGGCGTTCTCGCCGAGCTGCGATACTCAGGCTAAGCACCCAGCTGGGTCTCCAGACTCCAGGATCAATCATCACTCGGATGCATATGCAGATGCGGTATAGGTCCTGCGTCAACGCCGACGTAAGTAAGTCCTTCTAGCCCGCGCAGTGCGCGTTAGCTCTGCGCTAGTATGCCGGTTACGTACTGTGTTGGTATGCTGGAGCCTAGCGTGGTTCGCGACAAGCGCGTCGGCCCCGAGTGAATTTACATCGCCGCCCTTGCGAAGATGTGGCAGGGCGATTGTCCGTTTGCGATCCGGGCTAGGGCTTCTGTAGCCGGATACTACGTAAACACACTCGCTTGTAGCCTTGAAGTTGTACTACACACAACCACTAAGCGCGCGCTACGCTGAAGGCCGGCTACCGCAGCTGGGCATGGGCCTCAGCCAGGCCGGCCAGTTATTCCTGCACACCCGCCCGTTCACGACCGTATTCTCGTCCAGCGCGCCAGAGGCATCGATGCCAACAGCAGCAGGTTAACGCGTATAATTTATAGCTGATGGAGACCAGGTACGAGGGATATGAATACATGCGATAGCGTACACGGGCATTCCGGACTCCGGATACATAAGTAGAGAGAGAGCGATTCGAGCGAGCGAGGCGAGTGCGGGCGATACTGTACACGTAAACGTAACGCGGGTCAAGGGGTCGGTGTGCGGCGGTCGTGGACGGGGACGGGGACGTCAGTGCGATGATGGCTGGAAAGAGAAAGAAGCTGCAGCGTGGGAGGGGCGAAGGGCGCATGATCAGCACGGGCATCACGAAGACGTAGAATCACGAGCTGGGGCGGGTGTGTACCTTGTCTGTGCGGAGATGATTCAGAGGGACCTGCGGCAGGCGAGGACGCTCACTGGGGGGCGGGGACGCCCAGCCAGCGGCAGAGCGGCGCGACTATAGGCTGTTTACAAGCCTGCAGGGGCAGATGGCGGGTGCGCGAGGGGCGCGACGACGCGAGATGAAGCGAGACGAGACGAGACGGGGTCAGAGAGGGGCGCGAGCGAGAGAAAGTCTGATACGGACGTACGCGTGCGAGAGCCAGCCTGGCGCGCCGTTGATCTGGATCGCGGCGACGGTGGACGCGATGGTCACTGCCGCGCCGACGACGGCGTAGAAGACGGAGCGTTCTTTGGTGGAGGGCTCCTCGAAGGCGGGCTCTTCGTACACTGAGGCGAATGCGCGCATGCTGGTAGAATGGAGATTGACTTGGAGAGTGGATCCGCGGTAGATGGGCGATGGGTGGATGCAGTCCGCGTTGATCGGAGAGGGTAGATGGGTCGGTAGTCGGGCGTGAAGTCTTGTCGGAGCACGGTGGGCGGTGGGAGGGTGCGGGAGAAGGAGGTAGGGCGACGATGGGGGTTATATAGAGGACGCAGGATGCCGGAATGGAAAGAACAGAGTTTATGCCACAGATCGGGGTTAGTGTCCCTTAGCGCCCACGCTGCAGTTAGATGGTCCACATAGAGCAAGGCCTGTGATTCTTGTGATTGTCGGATCATTGCCGCCCAGCAAAGACAAGACGCAGGCTCGCTGATGCCTCTCCAAGCCTAGTCCGGGACCAAGGCATACAGCAGGGCTGCTGCGTGTCTTCGGCATGTGCCCGTAGGCACACAATACTCTGGCAAACGGGGGTCAGCAGGCGGTGGTAAAGGTCTAAGCGATGTCGACGGCCCCGGCGCGCGCGCCGAATTCTACTACGCTTCAGGGCCCCTGTGCGGCGTGGAGGATGGGCGATGGTATCAGCAGATTTAGTGTGGCACTAATCTCCGACTTACCTGCGGATCGGACCGCAATTTAGCAGATGTGCATACCGAGGTGGACGGACTGGAGGCATTGAACGGACGCACATGCAATCTACGCTCTCACCTCTGCACAGCATCCCGGCATCGTTGCACGCTTCGAACGGACACGCGGCATCTGACACAGATGTCTCCGAGGGCGTAACAAAACATGCCCAAGAACTAGAATCGTGTCGCCCCTTTCGACACGACAGAACGCCCCTAGAAATCCTCGAGCCGGTATACATCGTACGCGACTTCTTCATACGGATGGACCTACCAAGAGCGTCACGTCCGACGGCGAGCGTCCCGGTGTCTCCGGCCGTACGTACCTTCTGGAGCTCCCGCAGGACGCTCGTCAATTCCACGCCGGCATCGGAGACGGCGGTAGCACCAGCGGCTAGTACCAAAATTTCGACCCGGTCCTCCTCGACTTGCTCAGCTTTGCCTACGGCGCCAATCGCGGGATTGGCGCCTTCTAAGGGTACGAATTGGCCTTGCGAGCGCACGAGAGTCAGGATACTCCGTGGTCGATGCGGAGAGCAGTGTAGTCACTGCGACACGACGAAAAACGCACCGGTGCCCGGAGAGACGAACGCACAACCACTGTATGCGCCGATACGTCCGACGTGGTTGGGAAACCGTGTAAAGAGGTGCTTTAATATAGCCTGGGTCGAGGTCCGCGGGGTAAAGAAGACGAGCTTGTACTTTGGCATGGCGGGTAGAGGATAAGAGCTGCATTCATATTGAAATCGGAATATCGGGAGGGGCGGTATCCCGAGGGGCCTTCACCAGTCCTTGGTTATCACTGATGGAATGGGAGATCAGCTAAACGGTGCTATAGTGTAGTGGTTATCACTCGGGATTTTGACAAAGAATTCCCGAAACCCAGGTTCGAACCCTGGTAGCACCTAATCTTTTGTAACTCTCATTCAGAGCAGCACCTCGCGTTAGTTAGAACAAGAACTCCTTCTTTTTTGCAACTTATACCTAGCTAGCCAGAGCTCACATAATTAATCATGTTGACGCGTATGTCATATGTTTTCATCGGGCGAAATGCATTAATGTCAAACGAGCTACAGCGCGAGCTACTTGAGTATGTAGCGAGGCTCGACCTAATAACGAGGGGGCCTTTATTTTCTGGTACACCGACCCACCTACATGGACGTCGAGCAGATGCGACCCACCCCCGTTCAGCCGGGTGAACGTCAGCTGCACGTTCCGCCGAGAGTCGCCAAAGATACGACTACCGTGCGCCCAAGAGCTGATCACATCGGGTCCACGGTCGCGCTCGCACCCTCCAGAACGTCGCTGGCTCGGAACAAGGGCAGAAGCCGGTGCAGGGAGATGTCCTTGAGGTGCGGCAATCGGAAAAGTCTCCGGGGATGGCGGCCGCGCACGAGGATCGACGCCGTCCCCCGAGAAAGTGGCCGTAGCCCAGGGCGACCCGCCACACAGACCGACGTGGATCCTGAACGCCTCCCGCGCGCACGCATGCGTGAACGAGAACGTCTCCATCGCCGCCCTGCCCTCGATCTTGCGCTCCGCCGCGCGCGCGCTCGGGAGCTCCGCGTCGGGCGTCCACCCGTCCTTCGCGAGCTCCACCGCGAGCCAGCGCGGGAAGAGGAGGCGGAACACCGGGTCTGGACGGTGCGCCGGGCGCGGGGGCGGGCGCGAGGGCGGCCGGTGCGAGATGTACAGCCGCTGCCAGCGTGCGGTGATCCCGCTCGTGCTCCCGGAGAGTGCGTGGCGTGCCCAGTTGACCTGCGCGAGGCGGAAGCGCAGGCGCAGCCAGGTGCGCTGCCCGCGCACGGTCGTCCCGACGTAGTAGCGCGGCCACTCGAGGCCGGTGTCGTCGTCTGCGCGCCGGCGGAGGAGCAGGCCGACGAAAGAGTCTGTTGCGGTGTCCTTGCATGCGAGCACGGCGATGGCGAGCGTGGTCCGCCCCGCGGAGCTCTCGATGATGAGTTGGCGCGCACGTACGCCGTGGCTCGTTGCTGTGAAGTCGGGAAGAGGGATCTTCCACGTCTTTTCTGGGCGACGGGCGACCGCCGAGTTCTGTTTGTCCAATGTCATCACATGAATAACGCGTCGCAAGAGTGGAGAAAATTGCTGCCAACCTGTGAGGGTCCCAACGCCCATCGGGAGATGCCCAGCGCCTTCACAGCGTTCTCCACGGCAACCTTCATGGGCACGGGCACCATATTGCCGGAGCTGGCGAACGCCGCGGGCGAGGGCGCGAAGATATGACTATCCTGGTGGTAGTTGCTGTGCGACGTGTCCTCCCTGAACGGCACCGTGCGGATCGGCAGCACGTTCCCCCACGCAAACAGCGTCTGGTCCGACGTGCGCCTCAAAATCTCCTCCTGCAGCCGCAGGAACGCACGCGCGCCCTCGCCATAGATCGTCGGCATGTGCACGCCAAAGAGGCCCATGAGGCAGTACGCCTCGTCCTCGACGCGCGTCGTGCGCCGCGGCGCCGCCCACGCCATGCGCCTTGCGACGCTCACGTCGCCGAGCGCGCGGCGGAACGTCAGCACGTCCGCGTCGACGCCGGTCACCGCCTCGAGCAGCGGCGCGAGGCTGCCCTTCGTGCCGAGCGCGCTCCAGTCGCGCGCGACGAAGAGCACGCTGCGCGGCGCGACGAGCTCCTGCAGCGTCCACCCGCGCGTGAACCAGCGGCTGCGGCGGAACGCCGTGCCGTGCGCGGGGTCGCCGGGGGGCACGTCGTGCAGGTACGCGTAGCAGACCTGCGCGCGCGCGTACCACGCGAACATGGAGTTGATCGCCTCGGAGAGCTCCGCGCTGCTCGTGCGGTCGATGCAGCAGGTGTCGATCCAGAGCCAGGCGTAGCCGTGCGACTCGGCGAGCACGCAGCAGTCGCGGATCTTCGCGGACACGCGGGCGCGCAGGGGGCGGTCGGAGTGAGGCGAGGAGGCGAGGGCTTGCAGGTCCTGGAAGGACTGCTCGTCGTCTTGCCAGACATGCGAGAGGATGGCGTAGCCGCCTTTGACGTCTTTGACTCCGTTGAAGTGGTGAAGTTCAGCTGTACTGGTGTCGAGCAGCCACATCGGCTAAGCTGGATGTAAGGACGCAGATTCGAACTTGTGTCAGTTTCGGGGGAAGTACTGTGTTGGAGAGTAAATGGTACTCACACGGCAGGTGGAACGTCCTAGAGATACGTAGCAACAGCGTATGTTACTGTTCACCCGACACGGACAGTACTTGGAGAGTGACGAAGTTGGGGGTACGAATATAAGGGCATCGTGGCATGTCGGCTAGTATTAGTATACCTCGAAGATGGTATCGGTGTACTTGTAGACGCGCAAAACGGTATTACATACGTGCTTCAACGTGAACTGTACTCGGGTTGCCATGCGCCGCCAAGAAGTTCTGCTGGCCTGCGAGTGATGCGAACCAGTCCACTAGTACAACGACATCACCTTAGCTAGGCTTGCGTGTGGTTTATCGGCCCCCACACCCTGCAACTTGAGCTTGTCGCCGAGAAAGCTCTCGAGCTCGGGACAGGATGAGAGTGAGAGGAAAGGAGACTCCATTGCTGGTGTAGAGTGAGATACACGCAAGATTACTGCATCGTTATAGCACCCGCATCGATGGCACGATGGCAATACGGCCGGGGGAGTATAGTACCGGTATCGGGGGCACGGATTCAAAACAGAGGCGGACGGGGACGGGGACCAGAGGGCGTGCATATAGTGTCAGGGCAAAGAGCGTGGCGAGAGCAGCGCGTGCCCCGCATAAACATTTCGGACAGGAAGGAAGAGAAGGAGAAATCAAAGAAACGAAGGAGAAGGAGAAATTTACGAAGAAACGGGGGTGGGGGTGGTGGGGTGGGGTTCGGGAGCAGCGAGAAAAAGAGAATGTAATTTGGGGGTTGTGTGTGCGCGGGGGCGGGGCTGAGAATTAAGCAGGCGAGCGGAGAGAAAGTTCAAGTTGATAAAGAACGAGCAACCAATAGCCCAAGGTCCGCGCGTGTGTGGCAGCCGGGTCCCCGTGCGTACAGTCGTGGCGGCGCCAGCGATCGGCGTTGCCCGCCCACGAGAAGACGGTTTTGCTGGAAGGCCATGACAGGATGCGCGCTAGGGCGGCGAGTTCGGTGGTACAGTCGCAGGAGCAGTTTCGCGGACAGCAGTCGTAGGAGCGAGCACGATATACACGGACAGGGGGAGGGTATCCAAGCGGCCACTTCATCATACAATGAGTTTTCGCAGCGCGGGCAGCAACGCAGGGGTATGGGGTGTTGTGTTGTCGTATATCATCGTCTCGTCGCCTCCTCATGCCAACGCCTCGACCTCGCCGGACGCGATGTCGACCATGTCGTCGTTCCCGTCCTCGTTGATCGCATCGACGTCCACGCCGTTCTTCAACATCGTCTCCTCCGTAGGCTCAATGGCGCTCGGCGGCTGGGAGTTCCCGCCGTTGCCACCAGACCTCCTTCCTCCCGATCCGCCCTGGGGGCCCGAGCGCGGCGGGTTCGCGCACCGGTCCTTGCCATGCGCGATACGCAGGTTCGCGTAGTCCGGCTTGTTCTTCACACCGTCGATCGCCTTGATCGCGTTCGAGATGTTGGTGAAGTTCACGAACGAACAGTTCCTGCAACTGTTGTCAGCACCTGAGGTCAAACTCTGGATGAGCCAAGACTCACTTCTCCTTCAAGAAGTTGACGAGCTCGATCTCTCCGAACTCGCCAAAGTCCCTCCTCAGCTTCTCCTCCGTGAATGTGTCAAAGTCCTCGATGTTGCCAACGTACACGTTGCGGGTCGCGCCCGAGTGCACTGCAAGCGCGAGCGCTGGCGGCAACGGTCCCGAGTTCTTCCCCCAGCCAATCTTCAGCCGGCGGTTGTTGAGTGTCAGGCCCTGGTAGGACGCCACCTGGAAGAAGGTGAGCGCCGCGGCGGGGTCGACGAACGTCACGAACTGTGAAGCATGGTTAACATGGAGCACATGACGACTGTACAAACAGCTACTTACGGCAATGTGTTTGTCCTGCATATAGCGGAGGCTCTGGAGCACACCGCCACGGATAGCATTGCACAGGTCTTCAGTCGTGGTCTCAGGATGGATGTTCCCGAGGTACACCGTGCGGTTCAGGCTCTGGCCAGACGCAAGGCTCTGCAGCGCGTCGGGCGAGAACGGCATGTACGGCGACAGTGGTGACGCAAAGGGGTTGCCGCTCGAGAGGGGCGACAGCGCCGCGGACTGGGCCACGAGCGACTGGGCAGCAGCTGCCTGAGCGGCCTGGGCGGCAGCCTGCTGAGACTTGGGGATATATGCGCATCGGTCCTTGCCGTAGTTGACGCGCTTTCCGGCCCACGCGGGCTCAGTCGGGAGCGTGTTGACAACCTGTGGACAAATGAAATCAACATGAGGCACGGACACGTGGATATATGCGTGCATACCTTGGTAGCAGTCGAGATGCTCAAGAAGTGCACGAAGCCGATGTTCTTGTCACGCACGATCTTGACCTGGTCGATGAGACCGAATCGGCTGAGGTCATCGCGAAGCTGCTCCTCGGTCATAGTCTCATCGAGACCACCGAGATACACGTTACGGCTCGCATTGCTCTGCTGGATGGCGAGAGCGACCTGGCTCGGGACCGGCGAAGGCTTGCCCCAACCGATCTTGAGTTCCTGTCCGTGCAGCGACAGCTTCTTGATCAGCGCGTCCGCGTGGAAGGCTGCGGCTGTCGAGCCATCCAGGAACGACAGGAATACGCAGGACTTCTCGGGGAGAACGCGAATAGACTCCAGCGGGCCGAAGTGCACGAGGTTAAGCAGCTCATCGACAGAAGCGGTCGCGGGGAGGTTGCCGACGTAAACAGTGCGCGCGGTGGTGTTGCTCTGGGCCGACAGGGCCGCGGTGATGGCAGCGGGGGAGTAGGGCGACGCCTGC